GCAGGAAGGCTGACGTTTCGGGCCTAGACCCTTCTTCAGAAATCTAGACCCTTCTTCAGAAATGACCCTTCATTTCTGAAGAAGGGTCTAGGCCCAAAACGTCAGCCTTCCTGCTCCTCTGATGCTGCTTGGCCTGCTGTGTTCATCCAGCTCTACACCTTGTTATCTAAGTTTAAACTTTCTTAGCTTCAAATAACCGCTTCAGGATTCTAACTAAACCCTTCTGGTCTGGAATTTTCAAACTAAAACACTAACACTGAGGTAATCTATTTCCTAACTGTTTCGTGCTAACTCTTTTCACCAGGAGAAATGCTTCTTCCACCTGACCCCAGCCAAGTCTTGCGTGAAATGCTCGAAAAAGCTTTTCCAATCTCTGTGTTTTCTAAGCTAAAATCAATCCTTGATTATCCTAAAACAAAAGCAATCAAAAGCCTTTCAATAGCAAAACTCTCACATAATGAACAATTTCCAAATTCAACTTCAGCAGCATTCTCAGTCACCTTCTCTCTAATAAAACTGATTCAATATCATGGCTCCAAAAAGATTAACAGGTCAATTAGGAAACTCTTCATAAACTCAGACCAAAAACCGACAAGCCACTTGTTCAAAATTCAAACTCTTAAATAAATATCAATATAAATCATTCACCTTACATCATGTTACATAATTTAATGGTCTAACCCTAACATTATGACTCCTATACATCGACATAACTCCATAAAAAATAAGTAACTTACTTCTATACTTTTTCTGTGAAACTCAAATGACATTCAGACCTGATTATTCAAGTTGAACTTTAAAAGGAACTAATTTAATCTTGGGTGGGCTAATGAGGATGGCAGGTATGTCCAGCTTATTACTGTATAAAACAGTATGCAGATTATCTTAGCCACATTTGGACAAATACAATGGTATCAAGAGCTTCAGGCTGTAATTGAGGAAAGTTATTTGCAAAGGTACATTTCTCTTATTCTCAATCATAAATTTTCATTTAGTATTCATTCTAGAACCAATGAAGTCCTCAAAGGAAACATATTTGTGCAGAGAAAGTACAATTCTCTGAAATATGGGGAATCAGTTTAAGACTGAAATGAGGAGGAATTTTTTCTTTCAGAGGGTTGTGAGTCTTTGGAACTCCTTGCCACAAAGAGCTGTGAGGTTAGAATCCTTGTGCATATTTAAGGCAGAGATAAATAGATTTTTGATCAGTCAGGGCATCAAAGTTTATGGGGAAAGGGCAGGAAAGTGGACGTTAAGAGTGCTGGATCAGCCATGATCCTATTGAATGGCAGAGCAGGCTTGAGGGGCCAAACAGCCTACTCCTGTTCCTACTTCTTGCAGTCTTCTAATTATTTTCTTCGAGACTCCAACTATCCCTTTGGTGACTGGAATGTAGGACACAGAATTTGGCTAATTAACGAAAAAAATTAACTTCTCTGAAGGTCAAACACAATTCCATCCTCTGATTCTACTCTAAAGGCCTGAGGACATAATCACATCACCTCATTCATATTCATGCACTGCCACAAAAGTTTGGGGTGTCATCAACACAATGTAAAAGTTCCAGTGCCAGCTTTGCAATTGCAGTCATGTTGGAGCTAAACTGTCATGAACATCCTATCAGAACAGTAAAACATATTTGTCCATGATTCTGTATGAGATTTGTAAAGCACTGCACAACAATATTTTGAATTGATGAGGAAGACAGAAATGAAAACAAACAGTTGGGAAAAGAATATTTTGCCGAATGCTTAATTTCTATAGTCTTACCGAAGGATTTTGCTTCCTGTTTATTCAGGGAGATTATTCTATCATCTGGCTGCTCGTAAAGGAAGAATTGGTAGCGGTGGTACCCTGTGCCAGATGGTGGGGTGGGTGGCCTGTACTCTGTATCGCAATGAAACAAAATTAAAGTCATAAATACCAACATTTTCACATTAAGGGGACCTTCACTGAGATAGCAATCACAGAACATTTTTTTAAAATTAGATATATTTATCAAATACATCAACTCTTTCAAATTTGTACTACATTTACCCTGGCTGTCTGTAGTAAGCAGCATAAATGTTAAAATCAAGTGGGATGGAATTTTTAAGTAGATATATCCTGATATAACCACATATATTGAATACAAAAGCAAAACAAAATCAGATCTGAATATAGTAGCATGAAAGAAAACTGCATGTGTTGCTAAGTACCAGAATTTGGCTGTTGAGCTTAGCTGCAGATGTCAGCAGAGTTCAAAGGAAAGAGAAGTAGTCCTGTGGTTTGGATTCTCTTGAAGGTATGCAGAAAACTAGGAGAAAGAGACAGTAAAAGAGTAAAGAAAAGTAGGTAACTGGATGAACAAAAACAGAAGTTGCTGGAAAAGCTCAGCAGGTCTGCAGCATCTGTGAAGAAAAATCAGAATTCACATTCCAAGGAAAGTTCACCAGACCCAAAACCTTAACTCTGATTTTTCTTCACATTTGCTGCCAGACCTGTTGCTTCCAGCAACTTCTGTTTTTGTTCCTGATTTACACCATCTGCAGGTCTTTTGGTTTTTATTTAGGTAATTGGATGAACTCAGGGTAAGAAAAAATTCAGTCTGAATGAGGGTTATCATTTGTGAATGCATGGAGGGTGGTTGAAAAGATTAGTGAGTTACAGGTGCAGTCTGGCAGATGGAAATAAGACATTATGGCTGTAACAGTGACCTAGATCGAATGATGGCAGGACTGGGTGTTAAATATTCCTGGCAATGACGTTCAAGAAAGAAAGGAAAGGAAAAAAGAGAGAAGACTGGTGATTGAGGAGAGTATTGTAGCACTGGAGAGACAGGATATCCCACAGGAGCTAAAGACAGTTTGAATGAAATACATTCTAAGAAACTACTAGTCTTTGGCCACAAACAAGTGGAAAAAAATGGAGATACAGGCAGTGCTGAGTGAGCAGGAGGCTGCATATGCACTGGACAGGCTGGTAGAGTGGGCAAAGAAGTGACAGATGGAATACAACATGGAAAAGTATGAGGTTATGCACTTTGGTAGAAAGAATAGAGGTGTAGGCTATTTTCTAAATGGGGAAAAGCTTCAACAATCTGGACTCAAAAGGGACTTAGGTGTCGTCATTCTGGATTCTCTTAAGGTTCAATTGGCAGCTAAGAAGACCTCAATTCAAGAGGGCAAGATTACAAGAGAAAGATATGCTGCTGAGGTTGTATAACGCTCTGGTCAGAATGCATTTGGACTATTGGGCCACATATCTCAAGAAGGATGTGCTGGCATTGGAGAGGGTCCAAAGGAGGTTGATAAGAATGATCCTAGGGATGAAGGGCTTGTCATCTGAGGAGTGGTTGAAGACTCTGGGTTTTTACTCGATGGAGTTTAGAAGGATGAAGGGGATCTGTTTAAACTGACAGAATACTGGGGGGCCTGGACGTGAAAAAAATGTTTCCACCATTAGGAGGGACTAGGACCCGAGAGCACAGCCTCAAAGTGAAGGGAAAACTATTTAGAACTGAGATGAGGGGAAATTTCTTCAGCCAGAGGCTGGTGAATTTGTGGAACTTATTGCCGCAGAAGGCTGTGGAGGCCAAGTCATTGACTGTATTTAAGACAGAGGTCAATAGATTCTTGATTAGTGAGGGGATTAAGGGTGATAAGGGAAAGGCAGAAGAATGGTGTTGAGAAACCTATCAGCCATGATCAAATAGCACAGCAGACTCAATCGGCCGATTGGCTCAATTCTCCTCTTATATCTTATGGTCCGATGGAAATATGTGGAGAAATAAATCCCGAAGGAAATTACAGAGTTGCTAGAATTATACAGTAGTCATATCTGGGGGACTCAATGATCTCTGTGTAGACCAAGGTATCAGTTGTCTAAAGGGTAGACATGGGAAAGAACTCCTGGACTGTGTTCAGGAAATACTTCTCCACGAGTATGTTTTCAGACCAATGAGAGGGGAAGCCCTGTTGGATCCAGTTCTTGGGAATGATGTGGGCCAAGTGGATCAAAGGTTCAGGAGAAGATCATTTTAGGTACATTGATCACTGTATCATAAGATTTAAGAGGTGATGGTAAAGGAAAAAGAACATTGAAAAGGAAAGACAATTAACTGGGGTAAGGCCAACTTCAAAGATTAAGAATAGATTTGGACCGATGCTATGAACCCAGCTGATGGTATTATTGGACAAATCAGATCCCAGAATGAAATCTGGCTTGACTGGCCAGTTTTTTTTTATTAATGTGGTTGTAGATCATGAAACACAAGGCTCTAGAGTTTCTTGAACAACAGACCATTCGTTAATTACCAAAAGATGAAAGTAAAAACAAACAAGTTTTCGAGACGTAGAAAAGAATTTGGAAATAATCTTTAATACGTGGAGCATCACCAAAGTTTTCAATCTATTTCCAAAACCAATCATTGGGAGAGATTCAAATCTAGAGAATTCACAGACGATTTTTCAGCTCCCTCGGGTTGTACTAAACGACTCTTGACAATTTCTTCACCATGGACTGTGCAGACAATTCAATGAATCTTTTGCAAATCTACCAACATGAACTCTTCCACAACTCAAAGACACTGAGCTATCTCAGTTCTTCTAACATGTAGATTTCTAATCAAACTCTCCTGGTTTAGAAGTTTTATAAAATATCCTTCTGCCAAACTGTCCTAGACTCCAGTGAAAAAAGAAAACTAAATTTGCTTCTCACCCATGTTAGGAATCCTCAAAACTGCTCTAAAAACATTCACAAAATCATCGAATCATACAGTAGAGAAGAGGCCTTTTGCCCATCAAGTTTACATCAACAAAAACTGCACTAAATCTAACTTAAATCTAAACTAGTCACACTTTCCAGCCCTAGGCCCATAGCCTTGAATGTTATGACATTTCAAGTGCTCATCCAGTTACTTTTTGAAGGTTGTGAGATTTGTCACCTCAACCACCCTCCCAGGCAGCGTATTCCAGATTCCCACCACCCTCTGAGTGAATTATTTTTCCTCAAATCCCCTCTAAATCTCCTACATTTCACCTTAAAATTATGCTCCCTTGTTACTGATCTTTTAACTAAAGTGAAAGCTGCTTCTGATCCATCCTGTCCATATGCCTTATGATTTTAAAAACATCCATCAGGTGTCTCTCAACCTTCTCTGCTCTACAGAAAGCAACCCAACCTTATCCAGTCTCTCTTCATAGCTGAACTCTCCATCCAGTCAACATCTCTGCAGTCCTACCAGTGCAATCACAAACTTCATAAAAGTGCAGTGGCCAGGACTGCATACAGTTCTCCAGATGAGGCCTAACCAGAGGCCTGTACAGCTCCAACATAACCTCCCTGCTTTTTATAATCTCTGCCATGACTGAAAAACGCAAGTGTCCTGAAGATCTTCACAGCTGGGCAATCAACAACCGTCAGGGATCTATGGACAATTACCACAAGATCCTGCTCTTCCTATGAGCTTCCTAGTGTCCTGCATTCATTGAGTACTCACTTGTCTTGACACTTCGTCCTGTGTCGCCTCACACATATCAAGATTAAATCCCACCTGCCTCAACCTGCCCATCAGACAAATCCATCGAGATGCTCCTGTGAAGTTCAACTGTTTTCTTCACTGTCAAACATGCAGCCAATCTTCATGTCATCCACAAACTTAATTATCATCCCCTTCACACTTCCTTCTGTATCGCTTCTATATCACAAAATAAAGAGCCCTGCAGTGATTCCTGCCGTATGCAGTCTCCAGTCACACAGTTTTCTACCACAAAGTCAATTTTGGACGCAACTTGCCAAGTTACCCTGGATTCCATTTGTTTTTACTTTCTCATACTGTCCCATGCAGGACCTTGTTGAAGGTCTTACTGAAATCCATGTAAACTACATCAACTGCACTACCCTCATCTCCTTGAAAAATTCAACCAGATTTGTTAGACTTAGACACCCTCTGACAAAGTCATGCTGACTGTCCCTGATCAAATGTTGCCTCTCTAGGTGGAGATTAATTCCATCCGAAAGAAATTTCTCCAATAGTTTCAATCTTTGCATTTTCTAAAGTGGAATCAATCTTTTGTTTCTCTGAATTGAGAACAAATTAATACTCTTCAAAGTTTACTCACCTGTTGCGAAACCACAACAGTACAAACAATTCTCTTTTAACATGGCAGGTTAACAGTCAACAATGCTTTCTGAGCATTGCTGGATGAGATGACTATTGAGATGACTATTCACAAGAAGTCTGACATTGATTTTATTAAATGAAAACCCTTAACAAGTGTAACCAACACCAAAAAAGCCACTGATTGGAAATCCATATTCTAAAAATGATATGAACATTCATACCTGTCATCACATTAAATGAATTGGAATCAAAGTTTGGCCGGAAAAAAAACAATTGGTGACCAGGAGCTACCTTCAAAGAAAAGATAGTTCTAGCACAGTCTAGGTATATTTCTTCAAAAGGGAGAGTCAGAGCAAACAAATCTAGAGCCCCCTGGATGACAAAATCAATAGAAATTAAGATAAAGAGAAAGTGCTCATGGAAAAGATATCAAGAAGAACCAGGAAGAAGATAGGAGAGTTAGAAGGGAAATGACAATGAACGAAGTAAACCAAAGGAAGAGACTGAAATGAGACTTTCAGTCAGCACAAAAGGGAATCTCAAAGTCTCCTGATACTATATAAAAAGCAAAAATATGGTAAAAGGGACTGATTTTAAACCAAAAAGATATATATGCAGTCAGGGTAAACACTTAAGGTGTGAATTGAATACTTTGCATCCATTCTTACCAAGAGCAATGATGCTGCTCAGGTTACTTTGATAAAGGTGGAATACCCTTGATCAAGAAATGATGGAATGATAAGCAGAGCTACTGCAGGCTTTGCAGTCTAACTTGTTCCAACAT